GTGTCTTCATTGTGTTAGTGATTAAACGTAGTTTAGCACTGCTCAGATAGAATTAAGGTTTGATTTGTGAAAATCAGCTGCTTCATTGTATTATCGCACAACGAAAAAGCTCCAGTGCTGTAAATGTGTGACAACTTCCTGGCAGGCAAACGAATCTTACAACCTCAACTACAGTATCTTCTAATAGAAAAATATATCTTGTAGGGGATGATATTGAATTGTTCAGCTTTTTTTCAGCCTAAAATAGGAGCTTAGTTTTCTGGCAAATTCAAATCACCACCTTTCATCGAGCAGGTTTGTATTTGAGATAAATAAATTCTTTCTGTCAGGTTAGCCGTCCTTTGCAAAAACTGAACGGAAATAAGCTGATTTCTCTTGGCATATTTCTTATCATTATTTTACCATTTATTTTATCATAATAACAAAATCATCAAAATTTCAAAAATAAATTGCTGCTGAATAAACGAATGCCTCATCCAAGACCGTACTTCACAGTGTATTCCATCCTCTCTTCGCTCGTAATTACTTATGGGCTTATTTAAGCAGCCTACGTCTCCATGGTATTTGAGCTTTGCGATGCCTGATGCAACTCGTATGATTTTGTCTCTGGAGCTACCTCGCCCTCGTCACAAACGATGTTTCAATTTGTACTTTTTATGTTCTATGGGCTGTATATATTCATGGGCTGTTCATACGCCCGAGTACGTTAAATAATGAATGACTTGAGTGACTCCTCAATGACCAGATTTGACGACGGAGTTAGCCGACTCCATACTCCTCGTTGCCTAGAAAGTTATTAAGCAGACCAGAGATCGGTGATATTTAAGCACCTGCAGTGTCAGATGCATCTCGCATCATTTTGCCCGCCGGAGCACGTGCAATGTATTCATGAAATATGATCTTGAAAGAGTCATTCATTATTTAACATATTCCGGCATGTGAACTGTCTATGATATATATGCATTAGCACATGATGAATACCAGCTCCTGAAACATTTGTGATAAACACGATGTGGCTCTAGCATGCAAAATGAAGCAAGATGCATCTGGCACTGCAAGTGCTCAATTACCACGGATCTCTCTCCTCCTTAAATGTCTCCCCCTCCCTAATAGGCAACTAGGAACAAGGGGAAAGTGAATCGTGCTGTGTCTTTGAGACGTAATTCATTATTTGGCATACTCCAGCGTAGGAGCAGTCTGTCGCATATACGTAACTATCCCACTTGATTTTGCTTTCATTCCGAAGTTTGAACTGAAACTGAAAAGAATTTGTTTTTTAGTTCAGAATGGTGATGTGGACGCGGAGGTAGCGATACGGTACTTTTGGTTTAGGAGTGAGTTTATTAGTAGCCTAATAAAACTGCGGTATTACCGGTTTGGACTCAGCTGAAAGTCAGCTTCAGCCTATGCAAGTATGATCCGACTACTATTGTGGATTGTATATATAAGACTTCGCGGCGCTTAGGCTCTGGCGGTTCATTCTGAATTGTAATCGTCACGCATACAATGGATCTTATATTCTCATCTGTGTGGAACAAGCAAGCGATATTGAGCAAATTCGTGGTACACTTACGAATTGTCAAGAAGCGCTCTCGGTGTGTTAAATTGGAACAAATTAGCTACATACTTCGCCGGATCTTGAACAAAAATCCTTTCGTCAGTAGCCGTTGTTTCCTTATAACAACACGAAGTTATGGAAGAAGTGAATTACGTTAATGGTACGCATCGAGATAAAACAAATGATTCGATCGGAAGTGATTTTCTGTAATGTAAGCTTAACAAAGAACGCTTTTTGCGTGCCATTTAAACATTTTGCTTGTAGTATCATCGTCAATCTTAACTTGTCATTCCTTCCATCCCACTGTTGATGAAATTAACTTTCAGTCAAGGTAGATTTTATAGGTACTATCGTCCTTATGTATAATAATCATTTGATTATGACACTATGATAATGTGTTACATTGATAATGTACAGTGAAAGACTAATAAGCGGAGGAATAAGCCGGAAAAAGCAGCTTTAAAGATATTTAAAGAAACGTCATTTAAGAGAGGTCGTTTGCGAAGAGAGACGTATCTCAAAACATGGGTTGTGGTTTCTCTATGAATTTTGTGCGTAAGAGTCTGCGTCGAACTCGTATAACTACAATATTGCACAAAAATATGTTCCATCTTCAAAATTATTGCTGTATTTTGTTGTTGTAGTGCACATTATTATTTATTTGGTATTTTGAATTATGAACTTTCGTTTCAAATCGCTGTCTGCATTTACAAACAGTATTTCGGACCATTTTTCGTTAGAAGTGTTATGTCACCTAGCATAAGTTAAGGTGATGCTGCCCAATTTAAGTATGTACTTATTTTTCGAAACCAAGTTTGCAGTTCAGTAAAATTCATAAATTCTCCGTTCAACAGATATGTGGCTTAAGCAGCATTTGACACATTTGCTGTGCTAAACCTAAGAAGATAAATGTATTGAAAGAAATTGTGAGCTTTTGCATTGCATAAAGTTGAAACTTATCACGGTATTATACCCATATTTGTTGACATAGTAATCTGGGGTATCAAGGTCAACGATCGAACATCCAGATTAAGTCTGACGCATTGGATTATCAGAATGGATTAGGCGATGTTGGTTGCACGACAAAGGTCATGTTCCTTGTCGCAAGCAAGTCCGTTTCCAGCTCATTCTTCAGAGTGCAGTTTTGGTTTTCGCCACGTCTGCGGCCTTTCTTTTGATTCCCAGATTTCTTAAGGCAGCATTCTCAAACCCGTCGTCTCCCAGAACTTTTCATTCTTCATTCGATGTAATCATCGCAGTTTCAAAATATTATGCAGACGGCGCTGCTGCAATATCTGTATATTTCTACAATTTGCAACTTCTGAGCGAATAATAGTTATTTTTCAGGCCAATAATTGTTTTCCGATAGTTATTGATTATCTTATAAACGTTTTTAGAATCTGGCCCTTTGCTATGAGGTGTGTGGATTTTTACCTTCGAGCGTTAATTTACGTAGACTGTGTCAGAACATTCAGAATTCAAAGGAAAATCTGCTGTTTGGTGAGAAAGGGTATTTATCTAATACATGCTGTTTAGCCCTTGTGAAAAAATCCAGAGATGGTGCCTTTCAAATTTAAATGCGGCTTGGCGATGTATGGAACATCGACAGTTAGGAATAGTCAACAGAGTTGGACAGACTGTAAAATCGGCATAAGTCACAACCTGTGTTTGTGACGTCATCTAACACAGTAGAGAAACTGAAATGATGCGTCCTTCAATCTGTTACATGAAGGCCGAACGACATTAGATTGTGAGGCTGCAGCATTAGATAAGAAGCGATATTCTGGGTGTCTTAAGATGGCTATCACTTGATATTTGCCCTCTGGAAAACTTTTTCTGGTGTGTTTTATGCAGATTACGCAGTGTTGATGCTTTAAATAGGCATAGAGAAAAGAAATCTTTGCTGATGAAGAGCACTCAATGAGATACAAAGTACTTGGTGCTTCGGGACCTTAACTTCTACATTTGGAGAATGCAAACAATTTAATCGTATTGTTTTTCTTTGATTATCGTTAATGCTCAAGGGTGAAGTTTACACTGCGTGAAGCTTGGCGCTTGTTATTGTAATGTGTCACTTTAAAGCTATTGGGGAAAATTAGAAGCGAGGAAATTAGCATAAGCATTTTCCTTCGATTGTTTATACATTAATGATAAGCTTTATAAAGTTAAATAAGCGTCTGTTATCTCTTTTAATTTCTTGGCAATGCATATGAGGACAGGAAATTGAATTTATCGGCGAAGAAGAGCCAAATTGTATCAACTTTAGAAAATAATATTACTGCGATGGGATAGCTATTAAGAATGGTAGAATTCCGATACGTCGATTATTTTTGATATCTTTTTAATAAATTATTTTTTCCTCCTGTAACGCGTTTTTATGCTTTTAGTTTAAAAACGAACTTGTAACTGGTTTGTGCACTCTGACCAAGAAATTCTTACTGACTGCTGAAATAATCTCCAACGTGCAGAGAGGCTACATTTCACTACAACAGCCTCGATATTAGCTGATATCTAAGTTTCTCATGCATGTTTAGAGAGGACATACATGATCACGATATTTTATATAGTCATCTAATACATCCTAATTTTGGTCATCACTATTCCTTCAGTATAAAAGGAGAAATAAAGTTAGTCACCCTTGGAATATCAGTCTTGGAATATCATATTCATGATTTTGCCATCTTGGTGCCCTTCTTTTCATGAAGCTGACGGTGCAGGCTGATTGCCGTTTGTATGCCATCAGCCAGGAGTGCCATATATTCTTCACTATAGGAGCAGTGCTAATTATTTGCAATTTAAAAATACTTTGTTATTGTCCTTTTTTCACTGTGACTATACATCATTGGATTCAGAATATCCTATAAAAAATATCACTACTCAACGAATAATATGATTAACATTGATAACATCATTTGTTTAAGACTTTAGCTGTTTTATGAACTATAATTACTTTCAAAATGATTTCGTCAGAACGAAAAATTGACGAAAGGTCAAACTTCTCTGACTGAGGCGAGTATTCAGCGGCTTTTGAACCCAAACAAACATTTGGCCATTGTAAAGCATGTCACTGAACATCTTCGCGGGATTAATTACGGCAAACTAATAATCGTTCGCTATTACCTTCGCGTGCTATGGTCTGCGTCAATGATGAAACAGTTTCAAAACTCATTTCGTTCTAAACGATTTACCCTCTAATATCAAACTCCTCGTCGTTGTATATTTTTCGTCAATTTTCAGGGCCTTGGTTTTTTCGTTTTTATGTCTATTTTTGGTTTGTCTTCATGGCAGATTTCGCTAAAGTATGATAACATAAGCCGAAAACATACAGC